GGTGTGCTTTAGTAGTTTCCACGAGTTTACTCGGGAATAACCTCGCCCCCACAGTCTCGCTTGTTTGACACACAGCAAACATGGCCGACCCTAAAGGCCATTGCCCTGTGAAAGCTGTACCAGTACATTCCACTTGAATGCACCTGCAGACACTTTCTTCAGTTCATCCGTGTGTCATCATCCCCGTTAAGATGTTGACACTTGAATGAGAGAGGGCGCTTTGTTGCCCAGAAACGCATTCCTACTGCTGCTCCCCACTGACCAGTATTGCTGCCATTTATTGAATCACACGCATACTTACATGTACATACTGTAGGAGCAGCTACATGTAGATTGTTCTCCCAGTCCCTTAATTGTAATTAAAGATGGTGCGTCTAGAATCTGTACCCCCTTTTTAGTGATCTTTTCATTGTTTCTCAGAATCTTTTGCAGGTGTTACATGTATACAAGCCATGTGGGTAATTACATGTACATTCATGTTTGGATTTGTACCGGGATGTACATGTACACATGGAATATATATACATGCACATGTGGAGACATGAGAAGTTACCAATACCAACTACATGTACATGTTCATGTACATGTATGTTTACACCAATGGAAATGTCTGATTGTTATCCACTTTGTATACTACATGTACTCAAAAAAAGTTAACTAAGGACCACTTTTTTCTTAACTTGTGATTTTCTTCCAAGCAATGAGTGGGGTCTAGTTCTTTTCATTTTTTGTTTGTCTAGATGGTGTACTAATTGGAAAGAAAAATGTGAAATTTGTTTCAAAACATCAAATGCACGTTTTCAGCAGTAAAATACCGTATCTCAGTATACACAATATGAAAAATGGTCCTTAATTTTATTTTGAGTAGTGTACGTTGGCAAACTAATTGACTTCGGGTGTTTTTGTCATTATACATACATGAACATACACTGACCTCATCCTGTAATTGATACAAAATCAGTCATGGCTTGCAGTACATGTACATGTACTGTATGTACATGTACATGTACTGTACAAATTGTATGTATTCGCTGCTTGGTGGGTGTCAGTGTCTGTTTACGTATGTGAACATCCTGTTTAAAAAGAATCCTGAAAAAGATAATGCCACTTATGAACGACTGCAGCAAGGTAGGATTTCAGCACTCAGTAGCAAAATCATATTTACAAACTTTGGTTGCAAACCTGAGCATTTGGCGAGAAAAGCAAGACCACTGTGTTTAGCACAGTAATGTGCATTTTTTGGCAACTGTGCAAAATTTGCCAGTTGGAACACTGAATGATTTAGTCGCCGAACATTCATGGGACTACTCTTGGCAGGAGCTGTAGCAGCTGCCATTGTGAAAGACTCGGTGCCAAGGCAGTAATTGGTTTGGTTTGTTCGGTAGAAGCGCATCCCATGATCGACACTGTCTACACATATTTCTACCTTTGCACAGGGACTTGCAGATGATCAACCATTCAATTACCGACTTGGAAATTTGTTTTCAGTTTTATAGACAATACATGTATGTTCCTGTATGAGACGATCCAGGAGATTGCCAGGCGAGCACTCTGATTAGTTCAGATTCCTGAGGAGATATTGTACATGTACATGTGTATTAATGAGCAACCTTGTGCAGCATGTGTTCTGGGCCACTTCTCAAGGCAAATTTACAATGTATATTGTGTGTTGTCAGTTGATCTTTGTGCTATGAAACTTACCAATTAAAAAAGGAATCACCAAATGTGTAGGGCCTGACGTTTTGATCCTAGCAGAATCTTTCTCAAAGGCAAAGGCAGTGTAATTCAAAATGAAGGTAGAGAAGATACAGTTATCGGCACAACCCAATAAGATAACTGGAGATAAGTGTCAGAAGACCTGAGCAAGTACATGTACATGTACAAGCTTTAAGCAGTGTCCTCAACAACTAGGATACATGTACATATTCAAATTTGTCAACGTACATGCTGACTGTTATGTACTGAACTATGCTAAAAACGGTATTAATACATGCATTGTTACTTCAAGGGTTCTTACTCAGTGTTATGTAACATTACAAAAAATGTTACTTATAGTATACATGTAAAATCAAATGTTTCACGATACGTTTAATTTCAATTCACTATTGACCATGATGAGTTCACTGATTGTAAAATGTTACCAGATCTGTAAACTTTTTCCTGACATATTGTGAAGAAATTAATTTGAAGGGAGGAATCCCCTCATGTTCATTTGGCTTTGTGCCATTGTATCTCCCTGCAAAAAGCATCGAATTGCACTGCACACGTACATGTATTTGTCAAGCTGTTAGGTATTTAAAGTCAAAACTCTGCCAGTTACATTATTTACATTATATTCTACAGCCTGTCCGGTGGATTTCAACTGAAGTTTGTGGATAGAATGCAACTACATGTATCTATCTAATGACTTGTAATTAACTACTGTTGCAGTTTCTGTTTGGTCTTGCCATATGCAATAATAGTTTCATGCCAAATTAATTTCGGCTAAGTTGTTAATACGGTAGCAAAACACTGCTCAGAACCTGCCATTTGACTGTGTTTTTTTTTGTAGAGCATGCGGTGATGCACATGTATACATGTAGTGATGCACATTTATACATGTAGATGTAGGAGGACATTTCTTAACATTTGTACACATGCATTGGGTTGAACTCCTATTGCTCTAGGTCTTGTATCACATTTGCATATGTGACCCATTCTGAAAATGAATCACAAGTCACCAGAGTCACTTTGGAGTAAAAAGTTCTTTAGAATAATTTTGCACAGTGTAAATCAATAGGAACTCACAGCATTTTTCACCATGGAGTATCCACTCTCATCAGGATGCCAAACTGAGCGATACATCAAAACAAAAAGCTAAATTTCCTCTTTCCAATACAAACAAAAACTCAAAAAAGTGGCTCTGTTGAATTATGACTCATATTCACAGAGCGGGTCACATATTGTGTGATACATGTATATACATATAGGCTACATGTACATGCATGTGGATGGGTATACATGTACATGTACATAGGTTGATCATCCCCATTTGATTTTGTCTTTGAAATCTTAGCAAATTGGATAAGTACAATGCAGTTATTTGACCCTACTTTGTGTAACTCTGACCCTTGCCTTTTTTTACCAAGATGCACCGGTACATGTAGGCTAGGCCTGCACGTGTTACGTGTATCCTCATTCTTTCAAAATCTTCCATCTGCCTCCTGGTGAAAATCAGATGCAGCCCGAATCCCTCAGAATCCTTTGATTATGTTGAGGCAGTGTGAGTGACATCCTCGAGCACTGTCGATTTCAAATATAACCTAGGCCTACATCCACCGGTATGCACGGCTGAGCATAACTTGACACAAGGTGTCGCCTGACACAAGATCAGGCACACATTTTTGCCATACCACCTCATCACTCCTCTGAAAATCCCTCCAAAACCACTTGAGAGCATCTTGAATGATTGTGGAGGATATCAGCGCATTTGTACATTTGTATGGTTGGGGTTTATGGAATCGTTACCCATGTTACCATAACTGGAATGACTGACCTGTGGTTTGTGTTGAAGCCATTCAACCTGGATGCTTGATGTGTGCAAATTACTACCGGTATGTTACTTTTTTCAGGTCACATCTGCATGAGCAGTAGTGTACGTGTATATCGACACGTACCATTACATGTACATGTACACGTACATGTATGTACTGTACATGTTGTAGCGGAACAACCATACATGTACATGTACATAAACAACAAATGGTTTAATTCATCATACCTGCATAAGAATAGTGGTACAATGGGCTTTAACAGGGAAAAATGTAGTTACTGGTACCCCTTCTACATGTACTGTGCACATGCACGTAAATGTACAGTACACATTACGTGTACATGTATGTGTACACATGTACGCTTACACTGTACAGTAATACATGTGTGATGGACTGGTATATGTACATGTACTTGTACATGTAGGTACACTGAACTTAATTCCCATTGACCTTAGCTAGTCAGGCCAATATGTGGTACATGTACATACATACAGTATGATTTCTAAAGTCAAACAATGTGTCAATTGAATTACGCATTGATTGCATACATTGGGAATTTCCCTTATGTCAGTTCTGTTGTGCGCATCAGTGAGTAAATGTGTATCCTGTGTGGGACCTTGGTGGATCTGTTTCGTGCGAGAGAAAGCTTAGAATCAGCACATGTACGGAAGAGCAAATGTACTCAAACTTGAGGCAAGTCATATCCTCTGGCACATTGAGGTAATGAATCAAAATGCGTGTCAAATTGTAAACACGCGTACATTTCCTCACTGGAAATTGCTTAGTACAAAGGACTTGCAACAGATTGTCATATATCGTTGCATTTAGTGAGGTTGTCTTTCCAGCTGTGTTGGATTTTTCAGAGCTGTTGGTTAATTCCATGTCTATGTACATGTACCAGTACAAGGAGCCATAGCATAAAGTTTATCCTAAAAAGTCATTTAGAATGTTGACCCAAAAGCCACAAATTTACATAGGTCTACACTTGACCCCTTGTATTCCTGACTGTGGTGGTATTTTTTGATATGTAGTTGACGTTCAGGTTCACAACTACCACTAGTAAATCCTCACTGATTTGATTCATTTTGTTTTCAGTCTGTTATTCATTTTGAAATATGCTGCAAATTTGCCCAGGTGATCACTCTCCTCAAGTACTTCATGTACTCAGTGATAATGGAGTCTAGCTTGAGCATGTTGAGGGTACATGTACATGTATGCGTGCGATGTAGAGTACTTGGGTGAATGCGTCGTGTGCACAATTGTGTTCAAAAGGCATCAGTGCAAAAACTGGCGTGTGAACCAACACGTGCATGAGCTGTACTCCCCAAATTATAATTGTACATATGCACTTCCCAGATCAAAATGATGTTACACTTTGGTATTTTATAGACTGAAATTTAATTGGGAAAGTATTGAGATACTGTAGTGAACTTCACTGAGAGTAGTGTCCCCTCTTGAATCTTTCAGCACCATGGTGGACAGGGAGAGTGCCAGGTTTCGTGCCCAGCAGCAGCGTCAAATGGAGAGCATCATCACAAAGCCTCGTAATCCATGTGAGGGACCCAGGTTTTCTGAACCGATAAAGGTATGCAGTGCATTTGCAGAACCTACGTGCATCTTCAGATTTTTTAATGCTGTGTGGGTTAAAACCCACCCAAATCCAAACCAGAGCAAAGCCCAATCTGGACCCTCAAAACTGACCCATGCCCGGAACCAAAACAAAAGCCAAAAGCAAAACCAGCCCTTGCCAAAAACCACATCGAAAACCAAAAACCAACCCCCACTCTAAAATCCAACTCCAAATCCCTCTCAAACATACCCCCCATCACTCATATCAATCAACACTCCCAAAGTCACCCCTGACATCAACCTACATGTTTGAAACAAACCCCCAAACAAACCCAAAGTCCCAAACCCAAAACAAATTTGAGTCGATCATTTTGCTTGTTTTTACAGTAGAAACAGAGGCATTCTTATATCTGTGCTTACGAATTTTGTAAATACACGTATGCAGACGTGTGCAGCCATCTGGTACCTGTCTGGACAAAAACCAGCTTGATTATGAAATGAAATTTAAATCACCTATTGACTGAGGTTTTTGTACTGTGAGCATCTTACATTGGTTGGAAAGGTATCGTATTGAGTTTCGTTTTTTAATTGAAATTGGTATTGTTTTGGACCGAAAAGGAATTGTTGGATAAGGGGTTTAACACCTGGTCATAGCCATAATAGATAAGGTTTGTGCTACATCTATGTACATGTGTCCGATGAAGTTTTGTTGTGCTCAAGTAAGCTCTCTTACCAAAATTCGGTGGTGAAATGAATATACCGGTACACTTCCAGCGTTGATCAGTAAACTGAGGTGAACAACCGAGATAATGTTGTTGAAAATGACTACATAAATTTTGATTTGGGGTTTTTGATGAAATATAAACCAGTTACCTAAAATTAAATGACACTTGAAGGATGTTGCCTGATTCTTAAAACTTGTTCACACCTCGAATTTGGGAGCATATGTTTGCCAAAAAAGGTTGCATCTGTGGTCTTAAGCATATTAAGTGTTCAAAATCTGAGTCATTTCGGAATTCTGTTGTCCCTTCTTCCACAGACTGACAAAGAAGACAAAAACATCAAGGACATCTTGGGCAGCTTCAGCAACATAAAGAACGTCATGGAGCCCAGCTCTATGTACAATTTCCTGGGTATCCCCAAGGAGCCCCCCACACCTGTTGACAACAGAGCCCGCCAGGTCTTCGACTTGTCAGGAGTGACATTCACGGCCAACGGACAGGTCAGGAGTAGCAAGTCAGAGAACCAGTCTGGGAACGGTTCCTCCTTGAGGAAAGACCAGTCTGGGTCCTCGTCCTCCAAGAGCACCGTGCCGCATGTGAAGAGTGGGCAGAAGAGCAAGGAGGCTGTCAAGCATGGCATAACGCCAGAGCAGCAAGGGTCCAAAAGCAGGCCTGGTGGCTCTTCAGTGCCAGGCCAGTTAGTTTCAGGTAGAGGTATTTCCCCAGTGTCCACTGCCAAGGGTCACAGATCAAAAGATGTAGATGTCAAATTAAATATTAAAAAAGAAAAAGATCCCGATATTGGACGACCAGTGGACACCAGCGGCACCAGTAGCAGCAGCAGCCTGGTGGTCACCAAAATGAAACCAAGCCCAGGCAGGTCCAGTGACAGCAGCTCCAAATTGCTGCCTAAGAAGGGCTCAACTCCCATGAAATCCAAGTCGTCGCAGAAGCCCAACACCAAGCCAGTGATGATCAACTCAGCCAAGAAGGACTTCAAGAGGCCCAACGGTATCATTAACCACGAGCAGCTTGGGCACTCGGGCTTGGACACTTCAGACTCTGTGAAGGGCCCAGGGACCATGTCAGCAGTGGTCAAGCAGGAGCCCCATACCATCAAGGAGGAACCTGCTGACAAGTTTGCTGCAAGCAGAGAGGAGCATGGTGCTGACATTTTTTCAACAATTACAAAAAATCTGTTCAGAGACCCACCTGACAGCACAACGGAAAGGAAACCAGACATCAAGAAGGAGAAGTTGACTGTGCCAAAACTAAACATCCCACCGAGTTGGGTAAGAGGAAGCATTTTAGTTGATAGTTGTAAGTGCCTCTTGCCAGTGTAGTTCCTACAAAATAGATATTTTCAAAATGGCGGATAGAGCAAACTCTGCCCTTTTCCATTAGTGTTGTTGGACCAACAGCCATTGTAAAAGCAAGGATTTTCCTCATCAAAGTTGTTTAGAATGGTTAAAATATTGCACTGTAGGCATCAGGTTTCATGAAATTGATTGAAAGTACACTGTACAATAAGCAGCTACCCACCAAATTTATTGCCTGAGTCTCACATGAGGCATGAGTTACACTCAGGATATCCTCTGCAGAATGTGTAGCATTCCGTCCAAATTCCCTTGAATTCAGAAATGTCAGAATATTCCTCATACCTCCATTATATGTTTCACATACTGAAGATTAAATACCCAACCCAACATAGGGTTTTCTGCTTTGGCGGTGTTTGGAGAAATTTAAATCAGTTTCAGTTCTATTTTCGGTTGCTTCAGGCGGGATAACTGGTCATACTGGGAATTACAGTCGGGCAGAGGAAAATTACAAGAAATCACTTGATCATCATGTGTTGTGTTTTCCAGAAATACATTAACTGTGCCAGATCTCTCTTGTTCGTTAGGGTTGGCACAGGAAGTTGGGTGTTTTCTTCTTTTAATGTGAGTTAGCAGAGTGCGTGCCACTTTGATTGTAAAGGCCGTGCGTACCTCGTGTAGGGCCTGCATTCAAAATGGGAACAATCGGTTTGGAGTCAAGTGTGTAGCGGCCATTGTGGGCAAATATGCAGTTGACACGTACGTACGTGTGCATGTAGGTGCATGTTCAGTGCAGGGTGTGCATTAGCGCTTGCCTTACATGTGTGTACCTGATCGAACACATCCACTTTAACCCTAACAGTCCAAAATCCTCCAATTTCAATACGATTTTACATACACCCTTGGGGGTTAGGGTTAAGCTATTCTTGAATTGCTTCAGGAAACTGTCCTGATGACTCTAACAGGAAAGCAGCAAGGGATTGGCCATTGATGTGACAAAGTTCATTTGGAAGTGCACCAGCACAGGGACATGTACAGTACATGTACATGTGTATTCCGGAGAGAGTCAGCACGTTACAGTTCAGTGCCTGTATGTGTAGTGTGTACATACATGTACCGGTATATGTTAGACAGCTTTGTTCATTGCCAGTCCTCGTTTACAGCCAAGGTGCACAGTGAATGGCTGATTTCCATTTCGTCCTCTTCCATATGGCATGACGACCCCCACAAAGGATATACATGTACAGGAAACACACATTGTCTCCATGTCATGACACAGCTTTGATACATGTGCAGTGTATTCTGGATGTACACCTGCAGCCCGCTTCTTAATTTCTTATTTAACCACTTCATGTAAAGTTCACTTGTCTTCGTTAATGTGTACCACTCTGTGTGCACAGTTTCCAACGAACTGCTCAATAATTTGTGGGATTTTTCGTCATGAATTTCTGGATGATGGATGTGCTAGTACAATATGTATGCATTTCCCGTGGGCAAGTAATTTTGCTGGGGAAAAGGAGCGTCATGAATTGTATAATTCACAGGTCCATTAAATATGGGAACTCACTGAACCATGACCCGTACTGCTTTAATTTAATTCTCAAATTCAACTATTCGGCAGACTGTTGTGGAGTATAAACACCTACATGTATATAATTGTTCACTTGTAGCATAATGCTTGTAAAATGAATTGATGCATCACTGCAGTTTTGTGTTTCATAGCAGCTGTAGGAATGGAATTTTTATTTTTCATCTTATGGTTCTTATTTTGTAGGGTTCCTTCAACGATCCTAGCAACCAGGAGGTAGAGAAGATATTGAATGTAAGTTGACAAGTTCTATTTAAAAAAGAGAAAAAAAAGGTCACAAGTAAAATCGCCTCTTGGTCTACCCAACAGAAAAAAATGATAAAAAGAAATGTACATGTACCAAAATGAAAACAACCAAGATTTCGGTATACCAGTATGAAAATAAGATAGAATTAGAAATAGATTAAAAATGTACATGTACCAATATGAAAACAACCAAGATCAGAACTGCTCAGTGGTTTACGCCAGTGCTAATTGAGAGGTCTTGTTCCACATCCAAGGTCTGTTAAATATTTGTTGCCCTATGAAATTCTTTTTTTTTATTCAGAACTCAGTAAAAACAATTCAGCGCAAGCTTTTCATTGCAATTTGTTGTCAGACTGATAATCACCACATCCAAACTGCACAAGCCAATGTGAATGACTACAGTGGTTTCATTGTTCCACTGTGCATAACCCAGATAATTTCTTTTCCATCTTTTTTTTCTGACAAATGATAACAGAACACTCTGACATTTGATACCAATTTTCCTCCTTGTAGATGATGACTGAAAACAAGTCGCCCTTGACGGCCATTCAGAATACACCCATTAAAGGAGATCCTTCATGCAAGTTTCACTTCCATTCCAGTACACCAGTCACAAAGGTACAGTTTGTGTATGCACTGTCCAGAAGATTCTCGTTGTAGCACTCTCAAGGGGACCTTACAGAATTGAGCGTTATAACCGCACAGCGCTATAACTGACTGGATGCACGTGCAACATGTTCAGCACACAACATGTGCAAATCACGTGTGCACATGTACTTCTATGTACCGGGTACATGTATAGAGACATGTATCTACTTGTGCATGTATGTGAATTTTGTTTACCTGTATTGGCAGATGTATGCACTGTAATTTCGGAGTATATGCCTTGTATCCGTTTATCTCTATGTTTTTGTGACATCGATAAAAAAACACAAACCTCTTCAAAAATCACCACGGGACCTTGTGCATGCTGCATCGCGAAGCTCGCACTGCATCTACACCCACCGCGTAATCCTGACTGCTACTGCATACCCATTCATGGACAGTCCAATTGCTGACTTTTCCCAATAACCATGTGACCACAGAAAGTGATATATCATTAGTAAACCCAAGTGAAAACATACCCGACATGTCACGCTGAACACAATTGACGACAGGACGCAGATTTGATACACGAAGATACACGTACAGTTTAAGCAGCTAATTTTACTTATCGGTAGAAAGAAACCTTTAGGTAACAAAATACTACACGGAGTATCTCAATGTTAATTATTTGTGTCCCAAACTACACCACAAGAATAAATAAAAAGTGGGAAAATAATCACTACAATGTCGCCTCAGCAAAGCCGAGCAGGCACGGCTCACCGTGGTGAGCACGTGCTTGCGATTGTGCTGCATGGACGGCCCAGTGCATGTCTTCACTCTGTGTGATCGCTAAACTACTGGTGTCTGCACTCTCTGTTTAGCGCTTAACTATTGGTGACCAGGATGGCTGGCCAATCATGGCAGTCTTGCGATGAGGTTTCATATGCGTTGATTTTCAAAGAATATGATTTCCAAGGTAAAGAGCGCTGTAACCAGAATCATTTCACATGCTTTATATGGTTCTCAGGGCCAAAAATTGTGAGCGTTATATCCTAAAAAACGTTGTAAATGGGAGTGCTACAACCACAGAAAAATGTACACAGTGAATGGGCGTGCAGTTGGAGAAATGAAAAGAGAGCTTTGTATTAGTAAGAGCGTTATATCAAGGAGCACGGTAATGGGAATCTATAGTGCTTTGCTTTTCTTCACACACTCTTCGCTTAATTGTAATTTCATGTATGGAGGGGATTTCGGTTGTTGTAATCTGCCACTCTTTCACTGACTTGCTTTACGTTTGTTGTTCATGCAACAAAAACCCCCAAAAGCCGTAGTCATTTTTTTTGGTAAGACAAACTGCTCTTTCTTTTAAATATGTCCTGCCCAAAACCCATGGAACATACATGTACATGTAATCCATTCCTTACTGCATGTACAACACACAGACACGGTCAATCACTGCATTAGGCCTTGTAATGGGTGTAGTATTTTTAAACAGTGTTCTGCAACAATGGTTCATTGGGACCTTCATTGAAGAATATTGCAAAAGACTAATTTCTGGAAAATACAACTGTTCCAGATACATTTATTTCACAGGTTGACATATACCATTTCTTACACTTGTACCGGTAGTTTTGTGTGAGCTATCTCATATTTATTCCACATTCTCTTTTTTTCATCCTCAAAATTGGTGTGTAGAGGATTTTTGCACTGAATTTATACATCTTTATGTTCTTATGCTCTGCTGTGTGAAAACTACCGGTATTTGACATCCTTTTTGGGCATAGTTGTATTGAAAAGTACATTGTTTTAAACATATGAAATTGTCCAAATGATTCTGTTCAACTGAGGGCACTGTTTCAGTGATGTCAATCAAGGAAGGCACCATTTCTGTGTTTTTCTGTTCAAATCTTGAACCCCAATATTTGCTCATTGAAAACTTTTCTTAGAAGGGGTTGCTCTTGGCTTATTGCCATGTGCCTAAGCAACAATAAATCACCAAAGAAGAGAACATTTAAGACAGGAAAATATTGAAAATGTCATCAGTTTTAGTGTCTTGCTGAGATTACACCACAGAAGGGCCTACTTTAATGTAAAATTTGCGTGAAACAAAGTCAAAACTTTAATGAACAGATAGAATGAATGAATAGATGCATTTTATTTATTTTTCTGAGAGCATCAATAGTACCGTCTTGTTATATTTTAGAATGATCTCTAGATTTCGTTTGACCTGTTTACTAGTCAGATGTAAATAGGCTTAGCAGTGTTTGTAATCTTGTCTGGAAGGCAGAGGAAGCTAGCTAGCTCTGGCCACATACCGCAGGAGCTGCTAATCACATCACCAAACACAGCCGAGCATAAGCGCCTGCCGCTGTTCGCCTCTCAAGAATGTGCCTCGCATCAGCGTGTGCTTTGCAGCCTGTAAATCGTACGTGTAGACACGTACACGGCCCACTTACAGTGGTAACCACAGGCCTCAAGGAGCCTCATGTGAATCACTGCAGTCCTTCAGCAGGTTACCAGCTCTGATAGACCTCCCCTGGGGTGGGGGGGAGGGAGCGGGTTTTACAGGTCTGGGTGTCTGAATGTCAGCGGTGTCAGAGTTTATATATACCGGTAGCTCTGCTTGTGTGCTGGTGACAGCCAAAGGAGGGCGCTGTAGCAGGGGAGTAACACTGGTGATGTTCAGTTGGCCGTTGTCATAGTGTGCGGCGCGGAAACATTTGGCTTGGATGTGAGACATCGGTAGAAAGGAGGGGTGGAGTCCCAGTCAGTGTCTAACTTCCACCTGGTGACTCAGAGTGAATGTCCCGGGCTCAGTGACTCACGATCAAAGATGTGGTCCAAGAACTACTGTGCATTAATGCATGTTATCACAATAACTTACATCTTACCACTCATGTCTACAAGTGACTATTTTTTTGTATTTTTATCTCGGGATGATTATCAATGTGGGCTCAGTACAGGTGTGTTTCAGAAGGACTGATACTTTAATTGATTAATGGACTGCACATGTGAGTAAAAATATACACATTAGAAATTAGGGGAGATTTGAAAATAACAAAATGGTGGCTGCATAATTTCATGTGTGTGTGCCATTTATAGATTTCTAAAAAAGATCCCTCAGGAATGCAACATTGTACACTTGAAACCACAGGCCGACAAGACAAATGATTGAAAAATACAGGCCGGAGCATTCCGTCACACTTGCATAATTGGCACAGTTCCCTTGGACAATAAATAGGTTACGCCCACGGGCTCTTGGTGGGGAGAGCGAAGAGTTGACATCCGCAGGGGGATCAGACACTACTTGGACTTCACCAATCAAAACACTGATCCTGAGTATGTACACTGTTCTGGAGGGATGTTCACAGGTTTGATTTTCAGTCTCAGCAGTTGAATAAAATATACTCTTCAAAATCCATCTTCTTTGTTTTTTGTTTGTACATTGTATATGTTTAAGTGGTTGAATATTATCACACTAGGTACATCCTGTGGCAAAAACTGTTTTCATTTCTGTATTTCTTACATGCTTTTGTTGCGGGTAGAAATTGGAGAATAATATCTAATCTACACACCATGCTAAATGAGAGAATGTGTGTGGATGTTTCTCATGAAGTTTTAACAGCCCATCAAAATGAATTAAAAAAATAAATAGTTTTATGACATAATAGTCTCAAGCCACATTTGCTGAATTTTTGTTCAAGCTACAAGTTATGAAGTATTGAAAAATCAATTAGAAAAATTTCCGTGTGTTTATAAAACACTTCGCCTACAAGAGGGCAACTGTTTCAAATAATGCTGCAAGCCTTTAAACACAGCCACCAGCCTCCATCCTGCAATAAAAATACTACAAATGCCCCTGAAAATTTGTTATAATATTATCAGAACCTTTGTCAGAAAATCAAATTGGATATAAGGTACAGCCCGCCCACAGACAAGAGGCTGAGTTATTCCGTTTTTCATGTTCATAACCCCGTCGTTGACCTTCCCAAATATACATGCAATTCACAACCAAGGCAATTATTATGGTCTGTCCAATCATTTATAGAAAAATAAGGGGAGAAAAAAAATTTTGATTCTGGAATTATTAGTCTTGATTACACATATAATTGACATTGCACATTGAATAGGAAGTGTCAGCATGTTAGGGAGTCTATAATCAACAATGGCGCAGTCTTGACCCTGGTGCGCCCCTTCAGCAGAGGAGAGAGTGTGGCACAGGCATGACAGCACAAAGCAGCCCATATAGAATTACAGCCGTGTAATTTGGATAAGAGCTGTAGTGGTAATCCGAGAATACCCGAGAATCGGGCCTCAGTATTTCGGGCCTCCGTATTTAACCGCTGGATTTTCAGAAAATAAAGTAAACGGCTCTGTTCCCTTTTGACGATAGGCAGTCGGTATTGACTACTGTGCTCTGCTTGGAAGGAACAGGATGTGTACATGTTTTTTTCTTTAGACTTGTTTATGAAGTATGATAATCTTAAATTGAAAGAAGAGCAGTAAACATACTGATTAAATCTCCCATTGATGGCCCGCAGAACAAGTCATGTAATAATTTGGGAATAGATTGATTCACATCTTGACAGCGGTTTACACCCTGCTTATTTTTTATGAGAACTTAGCCATTATTTTACATGTGAGTTAACTGTCGTTGAAGGCTTCCATTTCATTGTAGCTTTATTTTGGTTCCCAAAATCTCAGTCATGAAATGAGGAGACTAGAGTAGATGTACAGACTGTGAAAATATAGTATCAAAATGCAGTCGGTGGAATTTGTTTTGCTGGACGTTTCACAATAAAGCATCCAGAGTCCATTGGAATTCAACACTGTTTCTAAAAATTGCACTTCCTTAACCCTCCTTCTGTTTTAACTGTCAAAAACAGTCAAAAATGCCTTTCACTTGATTTCCCCCAGTACACAGACACATATGGGAAATTTGACTGATTTTGACTGATATTACAACTGTGTCAAGAATGTATCTTAGCATAGGAGGGTTAAATTCTAAAATAACAGGGGCTCAATCAGAAAGTTGCAAAAACCACTCACGAGAGGCACTTGTTAAAACTATGTATGGTTGAATTTGGATAGATAGTACAATGTACATTATACCAGATGGGTGATGAGAAGAGGTGATCAATCATTTTACCAACAAAGGAGTAAAAGCTAATGAAGAGGTCACTACGTATACCAAGTTATACCACTGTTTATCGAGTCATGCTATGTGTATGTACGTGCACTCACATCTAATAACATTACGTTCATTTGTTGTGCGTCAGTCACTTACATGTGCTCTCCTCACTTAACCAGACCAATAAATAAAATTGGATGACAAGTTTACCTAAGCATTTCCCCTTCCACCCTACGAAAACAGCAAAGTACCGACAAGATCCAATATTCTCATTACAATCCCTGACAGCCTGAAATTAACAAGTTGTCCCGTTGTTGCGGTGGGGGATTGAGTGGCGGATCCCGGAGACTGGCTTGGAATACAAAATGAACATTTCCTGCTCGGGCACAATTGATGCCCGAGCGTTTCACAGCATCCTGACTGCCCAAGCCAGAGGTGATGTGTCATCAATTAGGCCTACCTGCTAGCCCCTGCAGCTCCATCCCACCACTCTCTCCAGTCCCTCCCCTTCCACTCTCCTGCTCACATTCATCTATCTCTCCCAAGGTCTGCTATCACCCAAGCATAATATTAGATGATAATGCAAGTCTGAGGAGCATGCTTGTCCTCGGGGATGACAGTATGTAGGAATTCATTTAGGGTATTCAGCATGTCACAGTGTGCTAAATGACAACTTGCCTTGTCTCTTCTCTGTAGGAACCTTTAAGTCATTAGAAAAATCTATTGTGTTGTTTTCAAGGGAGAAAAGGGTGTTTACACGTAACTCTAGTGTTCCCAGATTTTTCAGAATCCATTAGGTGTTAACTGATTTTGTGGGATTCAGGGAGGTTGAACCCTACCACTATTACCTGATATTATACATAGAGTTTATCAGAAAATGTCTGAATACATACGACACATATACATGTATATGCAAACAATTTGTTTGGTAAACCATTGTGTATCATGGGAAAGAAAGGTGGGATTCAGATGATTTGTTAGGAATTAATATTTTCCAAACGGTTGGTTTTGAGAAAATCAAGAACAATTAATGACTGACAGTTATCGTATGTCACATTATTATTCACAGGTAGTTCTTTTCTTATCTTCCCTGGATGATTTCATCCAACCTTTTCCAGAATTGATAGTGATAATCAAGTGGTGATTTACCTTGCCATGAAAGGCTTGAAGACTCCTCAGGGCAAATTCTTGGAATCTGAGGAATTAGGGTCATAGGATCAGAGTGTCATTTTTTTGGGGGGAGGTGCTCAGATGTCAGTTTATTTACCCCTGAGTCTGTGGTACTTTGCCCTGAGGTGTCATGTCTCAATAGGGCATGAGGCAGATTGTCTAGGTATCCAGCCCACATTGCTGTTCATGTATGCAATGGGCCATGGTCAGAGGATAGAGCCCTGTTTGCACTGGACTTTTTTTGGGCAAACTTACTCAGACAATGGGTACTTTGCCCATAAGTCCAGTGCGGACATTCCCGGAAGACTTCCTCTCGGTTACTTTTCCTGAGCCGCACGGGAATTTTTACCGGCCAACTTCTGGCCAGGAAGAATTCCTGAGACACTTTTCCCGAGACGGAAAGTCCAGTGCGGACATTGTGAATTGGTAAAAGCGGCTCAGGGAAGTGTACGTCCGGTTTACTGGCAAGGTCAGGCTCACATGAACCCTGCGCATGTACGTTGCAAGCGTCCACGTGACGTACATACACGTACACACCTTGAAGCTTAGGCCGTTTTCCAATACTTGACTTGGGCTCGGTCTCAGGATTCAACTGTTTTTTTTTCTTTCTTCCTGACTTTGAGGTTGTAAGCGCAACAGTACATGTAAGTCTGATAGTACCACAAAACATCAAGTAAGATGCACAATCACCAAAAATTACAGTACAGGGATTTGATTTCCTACATGAAGCCTCAAACAGACACAAAGTTGAGTATTGGAAAACGGCCATAATTCTAAGGGTGAAAGGTCACTTAAAGTGCACTCATGTGCCATATAGTGACAGCTCTAATACTTTTCCCACGCGTCTTGGTAAAAATGCCCGCGTCGAAAGTCCAAGTGCAGACGGTGGTAAAATTTGCCCATTTTTCACTTTCCCATCGGCTTGGTAAAATCCTGGGAAAATAAAGTCCAGTGCGGACAGGGCTTAAGTGTCTGTGCTGTCAAATCATGGCAATACTTTAGCACTGTGAGCCTCTCCGCTGCCTTACAGTAGTGTCATAGTCCTGTCCATCACAAGTTCTTTCACAAGAACACTTGTTAAGGAAGGCAGTGCTCGATGACAATGGAATGCTTTTGTCACAGTTCATTTGACTTGCTTCTGATTTGATTTAAGATTGGTGCAGGTGCTTGTTATAGTCTCAACCACACATAAGGCACTTCCTTCCACCTCCAGTACTGCTAACAGCTCACATTTTTGGGGGTCAGATTTCACAGGATCCAGTGGCTATTTTTAGGCTCACATTATGTGCATCTTTGTATTATTCTTCGGTGTATAAAAACCTTTAAAAATAATATCTGGGGTTTAATGTATTGAAAAGTGCACTGTTTTAAACATCGTCCAAGCTATTCTAGACAAGTGAGGGCACTGTTCCTGTGATGTAAATCACACTTTATCACAGAAGACACATTTCATTTCATTTGATATTTCATGAAATTTCATTTCATGAACTCCAAATTTCCTCTTTGAAAATACCTGCACAACCTTAAGAGTTCCAAAAATTGTAAAATTTAAGGTTAATTGACCTATAAAGGTGCAATATCAAGGGTGGTAGTAAAATAATTGTATTGCATGAACCCTTAAGCTTGCCAGGTATGCTCATCACATGTGCAGTCAGTTCTGTGATGAAATGCCTGTCTTAAAAAAGCTTAAAAAGTTGGATTGATTTTTTTTTAAAACATGAACTCTTTATTTGCGCATTTCATTTAACTATGTTCAAATAAACAACTTCATACGTGTACTGTGTGCTTGGATCATACCAGTATGTACCGTCATTGTGTGGATTGAAATGTACACATACCTGTAGACTTAAATCCAGAAATTACAATTATGATAAATCGGCATGAACGTTTAAGAGAAAATCCCCAAAAGACCTGTAGATACTTTCATTTCTTCCCCTTTCTTACGTCGTCTAGAGAGGAGAACCAAGAATGTTTAGAGGTGTTCGTGTCGGAATACCTGGATGTTCAGAAGGTGAAATATTCCAATGCAAGTCCCCAATGATTGACTTGGTTTTATTGTCTTTTTTTTCCTTTTTCAGCCATCCGACAATTTGCTACAAGTGCCCACTGCCAGCAATTCAGGCCCTGGAGACATGAAGCATGGTATGTTCATATGGTTTATAGAGATAATAACTCCAAACCGCCCCAGCTTTCTGTTCATGACATAACCAGCCTTTACACAGACCACTTCAGTAGTAATAGACGGATATTAAGTGTGAGTCTTCAATGCAGGTCGCCTTAGGGTGGATGATACTGTTCGGCATCTGCTATCTTCAGATGTCCTCTTTTCCAAGACCTGATTGATTCTGAGAATTTCCAATCAGATGATACATTGGTTCAAGTCGGGGCATAATCTTGCTCTTTGAATAAACTACATGTACGTCTTTGTGGATCTTTTCCCTTGATCCCCTGTTTCAGAAATTATGTCAGCAGGTCCCTTACAACTCTAATTTCCCTGTGTATGTGCGGTTTGACATTGTTGAAGTGATTGGTTGTCACACTTGTAAGCAAAGCCCATAGGTCAACCTCTGTGGCTGAGGTTGCACCGAAACTCCCAAAGGCTCACCAATCAAACAAAAATAACCAGTAACAAAACAGCCCCCCTGCTGCACACACTGTGGCCTCCCCCCTTTGCCCAGATTATGCCTTCCCAGTTGCCGCTGTTTTACCAGCGTCTCTCCCCGGGATCAATTTCAGGGAACCTCCGAGGGGCATGAAATGCGGGACAAATCTCTCCAGTGTTGCCTACACTTGTCAGATCCATTATAAGCAGTGTGTCGGGCGCGCCGTGATCCGACACCGTAGAACTGGGATCCCATTGAGAAGCCCCCATTTTAAAGTGATAATGTTCCCTTCTGGAACGCGACACTGAGCTATTGTCGTGCCTGTATTTAATTTGCATTTTCGGCAGCTCCTTAAAAACTCCTCCCCATGAATGGGTCGTAATCTGTGGAAAGTGTTGGTAAATTTGTTCTGGATTGGTTACATCTGTGGGATTGTATCCAGCTGAGGCGCCATCCAAAGTGGAAAATTTATTCGTCACCTGCCAATGTTGCCTGTTTTTCTGGTTCTGGGTTTTAAACTGAATTCAAACCGGGATTGGTGAGTACCGTGAACTGGTAAAATACACATGTATAAATTTTGACCAGTTGGTTCCTTATGATGAAGTTTATGTAGCTCAATGCTGGCATCCATTTTTAGTTTTAATACAGTATTGATCAGCAAAGATCGTATAGCGCCGAAGGCGCAAGATGGATAACTCTGCCCAAAAGATGTAATTATCATGGGTGCCATTTGAGCAAGCGATACGCCTGCGCAGTTTACGGTAATGCTTGGGCGCAGGCTCACCAGGTGCACGTGCCTGCCGCAGCGCCTGCGCCTGTGCATTAATGTGCATTGCGCAGGCGTATTGCTTGCTCAATTGGCGCCCATGCGATTACAACGTTTTACGTGTATTCATGGTGAAGTTCGCCATCTTGCGCCGCTTTGCGGTGCTATACGATCTTTGTTGATGAGTGGGACCGCTTTTCACCTGTAAGTACCATGATAATACTGTGGAAAAATTTCAAACCTGATTGGAAGGTTGTACACTTGCAGAATGTAAACAAGGATCTGATGGTATATATTTAAATGCTGGGTGCATCTACCATATTTCTCCCCGCCAAAAAAAGTATCAGTAAAAACTGCCACTCCTGTAAAATTTGCATGGACATGGAACATTTCAAACATAAGAGGCTGTGACAGTTGTATTTTGCAATTCTCACTGAAAAAATGTCAACTTTTTCATAATCCCGGTAAGTCTTTGAGGAGTTCCAGAGATTGCAGGCAGCCTCCTCCCAGTGGGCAGAGCCATTTGCTCATATAGAAGCCCACAGGTGTGGCTAATGGATGGATACTGCCACCTGCAAATATCACAAGGTTGATGTCTTAAATATCAGTACATCCCCTGGAACTGTTGCTTGGGAATACAAGATAGCAGCTAACTTGTAGATGGCATTCCCTCTGACTCCTTCCTGATGTTGGGCTTGTAAGCGATGCCCAATCTCCTCCTGCACAGGGGCCTTTTTCTTTAACATGAATTTTTGCCCTAGGTTACTCAACTTGTTGGATAGCTGGTGTGGAATCTACTCATATTGCACTTCTATTTTGCCAACAGAAATAGCCGCTCGTTTGTGATATCAATTATCAATTGTTGACTGCCGTGATATTGGATATGATGTTTGAAAACCTGGGGGATGCATAGCTCCAGAGGCATAGCCGAGGGTGCTATGCATACTTGAGGGTGTTCAAAATGTCATGTCCCATATCACAGGAGTCAACAATTGTTTGTTGTATCTACGTCTTGATGATGTTTTTACTTGCTTTCTGAGGGAAATGAAGGTTGACAAAGGAATCTTTGAACATAAGTGGTTAGCAGTCCCAGCATTATCCTGTACACTGTGGGGATGTGTGTGTGCATTATATCATATAGTGCTGGATGATTTGATGTTGAACAGTGAGTTTGACATGCAGTTTGGTCACCCTGTCACATTGGGATCAGTGAAAAAAAAAAAATTCAAGACAGAGGTATAACATCCAGGCTTGTTCCTTTCTTTTACTGACATCAGATCTCAAAATCGATCATCAACCATTTGTCGACTACCGGTACTGGTCAGTTTTCCCTGGTAACCTTTGTACAAAGAATATCTTGGGTACCAGCAAAATCAACCAAAATGGCCACTAATCAACTCCTGTCCAATATTACCGTGGAGATTCAAGCTTGCATTGAAATTGCAATTCAAACCTGTATACCTGGGATGGGGAACAGACTCATGACAGCTGGTGAGAGTAGAATCCAATTATGATTAGTATGGTATTAGAATATCATAAATTACATTTTGAAGTGGATCAGAAGACTGCAAACTTTGATTTTGACAACAAGTGATTCAGTTGTTTGATATGACATGCTTCAAATAAGGATTGTCCACAGGTAACATCTGTGCAAAATTGGCAAAAGGGCCTTATGTATGATGAGAAAAACAAAGCAAATCAAACCAAACCCTGAAAACTGAATCCTGATACCTGAATCCCAAACTCTGAATCCCCAGACCTGAACACCGAGCCCCTGACCCACCTCCCAAAAACATGGAAAGCAAACTCCAAAAACATCAGAAAAACAAACAAA